AAGGACAAAACCCTGAGGGCTGCTGAGAGATAGAAGGAAGAGCTTGAGAGGAAGGATGAATTGAAGGCAGGAGAAGAATCACCTGCGAGGGAATCCTGAAAACTAGAATGGAAGGGAGAGGGGGCAGACAATATTGTGAAATTTTTTGACCAGCCCAGTTCAAACAAAAGGTGAAAATTTCAAAAAACTCTCCATGAAAAATGTTCTTCCCATTCTGGTGAAATTTCTAAACTCAAACCAACTCTAATAAAGGAGGAGAAAGTGATGAAAGGGGAAGAGCAGCCAAGGGGCCCATCATGAACAATTGCCCTTACCTTGGTGCAAATTAGGTGAGGACAAAGGAGACTCCTAGATGTTATGGCCAGAAGGGGCCACTGGATTATCTAATCTCCTGCATAGTACAGGCCCGAGATGCTCACCCAGTAATTCCTGCATCCAGGCCACCAGGGTGAAACAGGTGTGAGATCCGCCTTAGACCCTGTGTCTGCAGGGAACCCAGTGCACTCCAGACGGCTGGGGATGTGCCAACAAGTAAATACGAATTGCTGAAATTCTGGCATGACTGGCATAGGGGGTGCTCATTAGCAGCTCAGAAATGTGCCTTTGTGCCAGCTTTTCAGTTGACTTGCAGCCCTACCAGCTCATTAATGACTGGGTTATTGTGAGCATCTGAGGCAAGGGGACAGCCTGACCTGCCAGCAGCTTGTAACGTCTCACCCATGAATTATCTCAGCACTAGTTACGCTTCCTCCCGTCCAGAACAATCCTCCAGCTTCACTTGCCGGCAGTTTGTTTCCAGTCAGGCACTGGGTTTAAGATTCCTGCGCAACCTTCGGCAAGTCGCTTAGATGTAGCTTCGCAGAGGTATTTAAGATCTGGGCCTTAGCCTCTCTGGGTCGATCTATGCTGCAATGAAACACCTGTGGCTGGCCTGGCTCAGGTTACAGGGGGGTAAAATTGTGGTGTAGACATTTGGGCTCTGGCTGGAGCCCGGGCTCTGGGACCCACCCCCATCATGAAATCCCAAACATCTACATTGCAATTAAACAGCCCCATTGCCTGAGCCTGAGTGAGCTGATATGGGCCAGCCACGGGTGTTTCATTGCAGTGTAGATATACTCTCAGTGCCCTGTCTGTAAAATGGGCACAGTTGCCTTGCTTGTCTCTTCAGACTGCATGCGCATCAGGGCAGGGCTTGAATCTCTCCCCCTTGATGTGTTTGTACAGCACCCACTACTGCCAGCCCAGAGCGTTCAAAAATTATGAGTCAGGTCTCCAAAACAAAAAACGAGATTGGCTTAAAAATCATGGTCTTTTGAAAATAATAATACATGTTGGGTTCTTTTCGTTTGCTTTCCAGTGTCGGAGCCTTTAGCGGTCGTCTTTTCCAGTTCTTCTCTGCCATAACAAGGGCTAGAAATGGACTATTTTTTAAAAATGTCATTCTTACAGTCATCACCTGACTCCAGGAGCTGGGGCTTTATGAAAAGCACTCAGTATTGTAAGACTCATGATAAATTGTGAGAGTTGGCCACACTGAGAAATAGATTCACAAAGAAACGTACACATGGTGACAGTTGCTGGGCATCACCATGTCTAACTTTTAAGTCCCTAGAAAATCATTGGGAGAGATTAAAAAGACTGGGACTGTTCATCTTAGAAAGGAGATGCTGGGGTGGGGGGGAATATGATAGAGATCTATAAATCATGAATGGTATGAAGAAAGTAAATAAGGAAGCGTTATTTACTCCTTCTCATAACACAAGAACCAGGAGTTGACCCCATGAAATCAATCGGCAGCAGGTTTAAAACAAACAAAAGGAAGTACTTCACACAATGCACAACCTGTGGAACTCATTGCTGTGGGATGTTGTGAAGGCCAAAAGTATGGCTGGCTTAAAAAAAAAAAAGAACTAGATAAAGTCATGGAGGATAGGTCCATCAATGGCTATTGACCAAGATCGTCAGGGAAACAACCCTGTGTTGCGGGTCATTCATTCCAGTGTAGATGTACCCCGGATCTCCTACCTGCCAGGTGAATGCACAAGGCTTGGTCTCATGTTTGCTTTCTCTCCCTCTCTCCGGCCCAATTAATCAATTCAGGCTATTCTATTAAAACAGAGCAGATGGGGAACTTCTTCCACAAAACGTTGGTTTCATTGGAAAGCGCCGATTCGTTGAAACCAATTATTTTTTGCCTATCAGCGATTTCTCCTCCCAATAGAAGCAACCTGGAAAGGCTCCAAATAATGGCTAACCGCACAGGCCAATACAGACAACAAGCATTCATGGGCCTGATTCCAGCCCCATTGGAATGAATGAGGGGGGTCTTTCTATTGCTTTCAAAGGGCTTTAGAACATCTTTCATTATATTTTTCATCCCATCTCATGTACTGGCGAGTGATCCAGCCAAGAAGAGGGAAGTCTTTGCACTGCTGTTCTTGGGGACAGTCAGAGCAGAGATGTGCGGGGCAGGTACTTTGCAAGGCGGGTGGCCTCGCCTTCCCAGGAAGGAATGCGATCATTCCAGTAAAAGCTCCATGCTGGTGTTGTGCAAGAGAGCGTTGCTGTGACAAGTGCTGCCGGTGTTGGGAGACATTCTGAAATCGAGTAAACAGGATGTCAGCAGATGCATAAAAAACCCCTACCTGTGAAGGCAACTCTCAGGTGAGTCAGTGCTGGTCCTTACCCCTCTGAGTCCCCATTAAAATCAACGTATCATTTTCTGTTTGGGATGATGGTATGTTGTAGATGTTTGGGTGGCTAAATTTACACACTTAATTCCACAACAAGGCACCTAAATCAACAGGGCCTGATTTTCAGAGGCGCTAGCCACTTTCATTTAGATTCCTTCCATATGGATTTTGGTGCCTAGCTTCAGGCACCCACGTCTGAAAATGTTGCCTTGAGAATCTCCAGAGCTTGTATTTTATATTAATAAAAGAGCCAAAGAGATATACCGGGATCTCTCCGCCCATCTGTGAAATGCAGTTGCCTCTGGGGTAGAACACAGCAGCTATTTAACAGCAAACAGCAACACTGCCGGCATTACAGGTTAGAGCATGAGTTAAAGAAGGAGATTGTATCCCAGGAGACAGAATTTGCTTCCCCAAGTTAGGATAGAGCCAGCACAGTAGAGCCAATACCCCAAGGGCTTGGCTATATGTAGAGTTGTACTGGTCTAACTTATGGTACTAAACCAGTTAAACCAGTGCAAAATGCTGTGTGGACAGTTACTTTGGTTGGAGCATAGATTCATTTGGTTGAGCTTAAATCAATAAGGAATAGGGTTAAGCTAAGTCTTAATAAGCCACTCCTAAATGGAAATAAGTGTGTCCACACAGGGGATTGGCACTGCTTCATTAAACTGGTTCAAGTTTGTGTGTAGAGAAGTCTCTACTCTTATGAAAAGTTCCATGGCATCTCGAATGAGAGCTAAGTAGTGTCCTGTGGGAATTCAGGTTGCTACGCCCTACCTCCACTTCCAGTCACCACCCATGTTTGGTATACCTTTCCCATACAGTTTCTTGATCTCGCTGTGTGCGTATTTCTTCAGGATGCAACATTCTGATTCCTTGCCAAGGTTGTTCCCAAACTTGCTCTTGGCAAAGGAGGGAGATGTTATTATTTGAGGGGAGATGCTGGTGCAGTTTTCAGGGAGGAGGAGTGGGTTGAAGAAGAGACGTCCCACTGTTGTTTCCGAAGAGGTAGTGTAACCCCAACAGACCCCGGTCAGCGGCGGGCGGGATCGAACCGGGGACCTCTGGAGCTTAGTGCATGAGCCTCTACCACAGGAGCTAAAACACAACTGTCTGTTAGATAAGGCTGTAGAGTAGACTCATTTTATTTCTCTCTCTAAGTGGTCTCGGTGTCACTAGGTGGGACAGAACATCACACCCAGAAGACGTGTGGGTTACCGTAGTACAGGCCCACCAGGGACAAAAGCCACACGCCATTTCTTCACATGTCGCAGGGAAACACAAACTTCAGGGATGTGTGAAATCCAGAGCTGGCCGAAATAGGGATTTTCTGGCCCATGGGAAATTCTGCGGTTTCAAAATTTGGTTTCATCGCAACGTCGGGGGGGGGGGGGGGGCAGGTCAGATCTCTCCAGGAGACACATTTTGTACCCGCGAATGCCAGAGCAATGATAAGGTTCCCTCCCTTCTAAACCGGTCTCTAGATCGGCACGCTGGAGGTGGCTGTTGTTGGGTCTCCCATCAAATACATTGACCATGAAGTCCCGAATCTTCAAGGGTCTAGCATCACTGTATGACATGATCAGAGGCTCAGGGTTGAACCGGATGAATAACATTTATTTTTATTGTTATTATTATGTGCATTACAGCAGGGTCTAGCTCGATAAAGCCCCTATAGTGCTAGGAGCTGTACATACCCATAGTAAGAGACAATCCCTGCCCCAAAGAGCTTACAGTCTAAATAGCTGAGACAAAGGGTGGGAGGGGAAAAGGTGGAGAACCTTGCACTAGCCAGGGGCAAAGTCTGGAATTAAACCCACCTCTCCTGAGTTCCAGCCCGTTGGTCTAGCCACTGGACCCTACTGCCACTCAGGGCAAAGGCTACATTCTCTTCTCCCCTTCCACCAAGAGGGTGGTCTCCTCCTTGCTTCCTTTTTACCCCAAGCAAAGGGGTGTCCATCTAGGGCAGAGATAAAGGGCTATTGGTGTAGGTCAAGGTGGAGGACGCTCTTCATTGAATGAGCAGGAAGGCTAAGGTGGGAGTGAAATCCAACTGATTTCCGATAGAGCTGGCTCAATCTTAGCTCCGCATCTGGCCCCCTGTGACGAAGTGGGACGGTTCTTAATGTTTCCTCTGAGTACTGTGTGGGTGCCTCAGTTTCCCCTATGCATTTCTTAAGTCTCCAGTGTGCATAAATGGCCGACACTCTGTATCCTGGCAACAAATGGCTTGGGCCCTTCCCCCCTGCAAGGGAATAGCTAAAGGTGAACAAAGAGATCAGGTGACCTCCTGGCCCGGAAAAGAGACAAAGGGCAGAAAGGAGGGGCTAGAGGGGGTTTCAGTTCGGGGCTGGCTGGGGACGGGGAGTGAGTGAAGATGGGGTTGTCTGGCTTGCTGGACCCCAGAATGGACCTGGCTGAGGGGTCCCGTTCGCTGTACCTACAAGCTCTATTTTAGACTGTGTTCCTGTCATCTAATAAACCTCTGTTTTACTGGCTGGCTAAGAGTCACGTCTGACTGTGAAGTGGGGGGTGCAGAACCCTCTGGCTTCCCCAGGACCCCACCTGGACGGACTTGCTGTGGGAAACGCTCAGAGGGGCATATGCTGAATGCTCCAAGGTCAGACCCAGGAAGGTGAAGACGTGTGAGCTTCTTGCCCTGAAGACAGTCTGCTCCAAGGGAGAGGAGGCTCCCCAAAGTCCTGACTGGCTTTGTGGGGAGCAGTTCCAGAGCATCGCCCGGGGACTCTGTGACACCCCCTTTACTATAGTACCTGACCATCTCCAATGTATTTGCCTTCACCACATCCCTGGCAAGCGTACGGAAGTGGGACGATCCCCATTTTGCAGAGGGGGACCTGAAGCCCAGAGAGATAGAGAGACTAAGCGGCTTGCCCTAGGTCACCAACAGCAGAGCAGAGGTCTGCTAATTTGCCGCCAAGCCCCCAGGCCAGCTTTCCTCTCCAGCCACTGATGTGAGGCGATAGCCAAGGAACTGTTTCTAGAGGGGCTTGGAATTGGCTTCTGAGAGCAGGATTGCGCCTTAGCTGTCAGGACGCTGTAAGGAAATAATTGACATGCCCCCCTCCTTTCCCCTCTTCCGTGCCTCTCAATACTTTATGAAAGAGACGAAGCGGGTCAGAAAGAGACAAACTTTGGAGTTTCTGCCAGCTCTGTTTCAGCTCTGATATGCTTGAAAGCTTGTCTCTCCCCTTCCACCAACAAAAACTGGCCCATTACAAGATCTGACCTCACTCCCCAGGTCTTGCTAATATCCTAGGACCCACATGGCTACACCCACTCGGAATAATACTTTAATAACACAGCCATAGCGCAGCGCAGACGACATGCTGGTTACACGGGTGCCATAGCAGGTGGCGACCCTACAGAAACACGTGGAAATATTGCAACACGCTTAACAGAAACATACAAAAAGGGCCTCGCAAGTGACTCATTGCCAGCAGAGCAAGCCCATTGGCTTTGTGTAGACGTTGGCCCTTGGTACAAAGCAATACTGCAATGCAGGGTATACTTGAGTTTGTGCCAGAGGGAAACAAATATATACACGCAGCCAGATCCTCTGCTGGCGTACTATTGGCATGCCTCCACTGACTTCAATGGGACCATGTTGATCTACACCAGCTGGGGATCTAGCGAATTAAGTTAAAAGCGACCTCATACGTTATGAAATATATATATATATAATGTTGATTATTCTCTTTAAATGACAACCAATAAATATCCCAGAACAAATAACAACTAACCTCCCTCCCCGCACTGAGGCTTGTCTTTTACAGTCGTGTTGGATTTTTTGTAACCTCCAGGAGCTCTGAGGATGACGGTCTCCCTCGTGCACTGGGTCTACTTCACCCTGCTTAAGTGGACCTTGAATGGTGTCCCCGCCTTGTGCTGCTTCTCTGCGAAAGGGTGCAGAGGTCAGCACGGAAAGGATACGGAACAGCCAGCGTGCAGTGGGATTTCCTATGGCAAGTCCATGAGCACCCAACCATACAAGGTGCTGGGTTGAAGCATCTAATAAAGGAGGCAGTGGGGGTTGAGACATCTAGTAAAGGAGAATTCGGCACCTTGCAGAATTGGGCTCCTCGACCCACCATGAGCCGCAAGTAAAACTGGCCCATCTAGCTTTACTGTCCAGTTGAGAAAAGTGCACCCCCAAATCCAGGAGAAACGGTAAAAAATAACAGATTTCTAAACTATGTTCAGTTTCAATATACCGGGCCATTATCAAGCAACACAGAGAAGGATACTTACAAACATACGGGTTTCTTTTAAGATCTCTATCACACTAGGATAAACCTGCTGTGGAGTCATTCTGGGTTTATGTTAGTGGAAATGAGCTTACAGACAGGCCCTAACGCCATTCCCCCCAGGTGACGTGAACCCGTTTTTACAGCACTGTAATTCAGATCAGCATCTGGGCCACGCTCCTTTGAAGTCAGCGGAGTTGCTCCGGATTTACACCACTGCACCCGAGGTCATGATTATTTGATTTTATTTTTAAAGGACACCATCAAGATAGAGTCCCCATTGGCAGTAGGAAAAAAAGCCTTTGACTGAGGATTCTGGGTCTATACAAAAATTTCCCCTAAGTAGCCAGAGCGCCAGTGGTGAAACATCACCAAACACAGCCTCTGCCAACTCATGTGGCTGAGAACGTTCGCCCACATCACATCATCAGCTGGTGAAAGAGACCCTAACGCAAATCCGCACAAACCAAAGAACGAAAGTGAGAAGGAACGCGAGAAATCTTTTGGTAATACTGGTAAAATAACTCATAATATTTAGCTCTTATCTAGCACTGAGATCTCAAACCTCCCTGCAAAGGTCAACAGCATTATCCTCATTTCACAGAGGGGGAAACTGAGGCATATGGCGGGACATGGCTCGCCCAGCAGAGTCAGGAATAGAACCCAGGTTTCCTGAGTCCAGTGCTCTACCCGCCAGGCTCCCCCATACTACCTTCTGCTATGTTGCTACTATCCTTCAGTTTATCATCGTTGGAGCCTAAGTAATAACACTTCCTCCTTCTGCATTGCTTTCAGTTTGAAGATCTCAAAGCACATCAATGAATTAAGCCTTATGAACCCCACCTCAGGGAGGTAGAATCAGGATGAGTTTGCTGGGGCTGGTGTGAGAATTGGGCATGTTCAAAGGATGGAGGTCTCGCTTCTAACCAGTGATGGAGTTGGGAAGGTGTCAAGGAAACACTGCGAAGAGCTGGTTTGAGGTTGATTCCCATTCTTGGCCCCGCAGACGTTGGCAAGAATCGGGCTACAGGAGAAGGCATTCTGGTCTCGTTCAGGTGCAGTTGGCAATGCGTCTGGCATCTATTCCGCAGGGATCGACTCCTCACGGCAGTGTTCTTCGTCGGACAGCAAGCGATGCTTCGGACGTGCCCCACTGGGCCGTTCGTCTGCATCCCGATTTGCTGAGCCGCCACTCTGGCTCCTGGCGAGGACGGCCTCTGCCACCACTCCATTTCGGGTCATTCCATCAGTAGAATTGCCCCTCGCTCGAGAAGCCAGCTGGGAAGACCCCGAGAAGCTGGAGATGGATGAAACTGCAGGGAAAGGAGAGGAGAGTAGTGGCGTGGTGTTTATTTTTCCTACAGCTGCCACTTGCCTCAAGCTATAATAATAGATGCTTACAATGCCTAGGGCTGGAGTGGATGCTGCTGATGACAGGGCACGTCGGGGACTCCATGCTGGGAAGGTAAAGACAGGCGTTAAGAGGCTATGGAACACAGACGGGTTTCAGACCCTTGTGCAAAATGCTGCCCTCCAAACAATGTGATACCCAGGCACCGTGACCCGAATGACCTCAGGGAGGTTAGATAGGTGGAAATGGATGTAGGACCTGATCCTGCGTACTGTCCCCACTTGAATGGGGTTACATGGGTGGAGATGGAGACAGAATTTGACTCTCTACACCAGAGAGTATTGCATACCCCCTTCCAGATCTACCAGTGCCCCTCGAACCCCCTTCCAGATCTACCAGCTCCCCTTGAACCCCCTTCCAGATCTACCAGCGCCCCTTGAACCCCCTTCCAGATCTACCAGCTCCCTGCATACTGCCTTCCAGATCTACCAGCTCCCCTCGAACCCCCTTCCAGATCTACCAGCTCCCCTCGAACCCCCTTCCAGAGCTACCAGCTGCCCGTGTACCCCATAACACTATCCGTCTTTAGCCATCTGTCCAGATTTCACTGTTAGGTACAGATATAGTGCTAGTGCAATGTTCACATCCGAACCCCCCCCCCCTGACTAAATTCTGAGCTCAGTTAGACTGGACAGTTGCTGGGCAACCGAACCCGCGCTGTACGGGGATTGGAGGTGAGGGCTCTGTCCGTTTGTGTCTCTGTGTTCTCATTGGTGCATCTTCAAGTGAATTAACTACCGTATTTGATATAACAAGTTCCCACCGAGTTTTAAAGCTTTGGCGACGTAGCCTCATTAATGAATGCAATCCACCGTGGCACAATTTCTCCTGTGACAAAAATGAGGCTCAGGATCTACTTCTCCATTGACTTGAAAGGACATTGGATCCGGCCTTTAAGAGCCAGACTCATGCGCTGGGTGCCTGGTTTTCTCCCAGGAGGCTCAAGCACGTCCCTTCCCCTGCACACGTCCCTCTGACCCACCTGCTCTCTTCGCCTTCCACCAGCTTTCTGTAGGTGAGGATCTCCACATCCAGGGCCAGCTTGATGTTCATCAGCTCGTGATACTCCTTCACCAAGCCAACCAGGTCCGCCTTGCCTTTGTGCAGGGCTTGCTCGAGCTCGGCCAGCTTGGTGTTAGCGTTCCGGAGGGCGAGCTGGCCGTTTCCCCCGGCCTCTTTGATGTCCTCTTCCAAACGCAGGCACTGGGGCAGCAAAGGGGAAGGGAAGCGCCGTTAGGTGGGCAGCGGGTGCTGAGCCAGATGGGCTGCTCCTCCCCAGCCCCGTGACTAGGGGTCCAGGCGCACACCCCTGATTTCCTGCACAGCCTTTCTTAGGGTGCTTTTCTGCCTGGAGCATAAATGAAGAGGTCTGGGGGTTGCTGCTGCAGTGGGTCTATGGGGAATTGAGGGGGAGGGGTCTGAAATGCTCAATTTTCTACTTTTGGGAGACTTCCCACATTTTAGAAACAGCAGGACAGGCCAGCAGCTATTTTCTCCAAGTACTTTTTGCCTCCATAAACCTCCCTCCACCCATAATAGATCTTCCCCTCCCCCCATAACCGTTCTCCCCCGACCTCCCCTCATATCACACCTGCCCCCACCTCCCCCCCACCTCCCCCCATACCCTTCTCCCCCGACCTCCCCTCATATCACACCTGCTCCCACCTCCCCCCCACCTCCCCCCATACCCTTCTCCCCCGACCT